ATATATATATATATGTATATGCGATACAATACTACTCACCATACGGCAGCATAAATCTCAGTTATTTGTAGGAAAATGGATGTATCTTGAGACCGTAATTCTCGGTGAAATAAATCACAGGGGTTAAATATCACATGGTTTCTCTTAAATGAGAAAGCATAAATTAAAGAATAAAATGAAAGATGATAGGAAAAGCAAGGTAGACCTTATGCAGATGGGGAGAGGATCAGTGTATAGACAGTGAGGGGAGGGGAGGGGAAGTAGAAAAGATGAAGATGTAATATGTTTTGCACCAGCTCCTCATGATGAATGTTTCATTATGTAATTTTTAAATGTAATAAAAGAGAACCATGGAAAATACTCAGATACTCGCCAAGGCGCTGGAGCCAAAAGAACTGACTTTTACTTTACAGGCGAGAAGAAACCCTTGCCCAGATGGGGAAGACTGTTCACGGATGCACTGACCCTTCTGGGAGATAGTTCTTGAGAGCCTTCTGCATGCCAGGCTTCCAGACTCGACTTTCACTTTGAGGACACACCAAGGAGCAGTCCAGGCACCAATGAGGTGCCATGGCTAAGTCAGCCAGGCTCTCGCCCATCCTGCTGTGCTGCCCAAGGGGCGAGAGACCGACTCCTCTAGGGAACTGGGCAGAACCCAAGCAGGTGAGGTTGGCCCCCGATTTCCAGCAGATGCCCAGGGTCCAATGTCACAGTTGGTGTGATAGCAGTTGTGCCTCTGTGTGTCCGTTGCTCCACTACACTTTGTGACTTCATTTTTTATTTCCAAATGTTTCCTTTTTTTTGTTTGGTACCAGCGATTGAACTTGGGTCCTTGGACTTGTGAGGCAGGCGGCAGAAGCACTGAGCTAAATCCCCAGCCTTCATTTCTTATTTTCCAGTCTTGCTCCCAGACTCTTACCAAGATATTGCTTGACTGAGACCCATCTTTCTCTTGGGTGGCAAAGCAAGCCAGGAAAAGAGCCCCCAGCTGGGGAATCCCTACCCCAATCCAAAGGCTCTTTGCTAAGATGGTCCAGCAATAATCAAAGATGGAATGAAGACTAAGCTCCAGAATGTGGGGGGTGTGGGGAGAGAAGGGAAGAGCTAACCATACAAATATCCCATAAGCAGGCATGAAAGTACAGCTGGATTACAGTGGATAAAGGGGAGTGTGTCTCTCCAGATTTAGCAAATAAAAATACAGAGCTCACAACTATATTTGTATTTCGGATACACAACAATTTTTACTACAAGTATAGCTCGAGAAATATTGGAACTATCCTTTTATTAAAAAGGTCATTCAAGCTGAGTGTGGTGGCACATGCCTGTAATCCTAGCACTTGGGAGACTGAGGCAGGAGGATTGCTGTAAGTTTGAGGCCAGCTGATCTACATTCAAGACCAGCCTGGACAACATAACGAGACCCTGTCTCAAAAAAAAAAAAAAAAAAAAAAAATCATTCATTGTCCAAGATTCAGATTGATTCCATTTTAATTGGATGTCTTGAATTTTACCTGGTAATCCTTTAAGAAGAGTACTAGGGTTTAAATGTCCCCTCCAAAACTCACTTTGAAATTCATTTGTGATTGGAATTTAATTTAATTTAATTGTAACAGCGCTCAGAGGCGACCTTTAAGAGGTGTTTACGTCATGAGGGCTGCGCCTGAGGCGTGGGCTGAGGCAAGGCAGTGATCCTGAGAGGAGCCTCAGATGAGAGCACAGCCTCAGATGTCCACGCTGGTGTTTGCACTGTGTTATACATGCTACCTGCCCTCCCTGTAGCAGGACAGAGTCCCCAGGACCTCAGCGGCTGGCCGTCCACGCTTGCTCTGGGTCTTCCCAGCTTCCAAAATGGTGAGAGATGTGTCTGTCTCTCTCATTTTTTTTTTTTTTCAGTACTGTGAGGTTGAAGTTGAACCCAGGACCTTTACACTGAGCTACATCCCCAGAACCTCCCTTATCCCCCATCCCTGGTTTCTCCGAGTCACCCAGGCAATGCGCCTGTCTCTGCCTTCCAGAGTTCTGGAATTACAGGTGTTGCCACCACCCTGGCTGAGACAGGAGTTATCTGTACTTAAATTACCCAGTCTGTAGTATCCTGATGTAGCGGTGGGAAGTGCACAGACAAATAGGGTAACCCGACTTTCAGTATTGCCCCATTTTCTAAGCAGTCTGCCCAGGAGGCCTGTGCCCTGCTGGAGGAGGAAGGAGCTTTTAGAAGGCTGAGTAGATAAAACAGTAGTGGGATCCCCACACCTCATTTCTTCCTACTCCTGAAGAGCACTCTGGGGATGGATTTCCTTTTACATACTTTATAGAAAGTAGTGAAAGGCTCTAAGGGCACTAACAGTGTCCAGCGGACTGAAGGGCTTGAAAGCTGAGGAGGATTTGATAACATACACCAATGCCTTGAAACGTTTAAGCCTTTTAGTCTATCGCCTCTACCCAAGGATTGATTTACACATTTATTTTTGGTATTGGTGACTGAACCCGGGGCTTTGCACTGAGCTACACCCCCAGCTCTTTTAAAGTTTTTATTGAGACAAAATCTTGTCAAGCTGCTAAGCTGCCCAGCACTCTGGAAGGCCAAGACAGAAGGATTGAAAATTCAAGCCCAACCTGGGCAATTTAGCAATTTAGTGAGACTGTCTCAAAATAAAAACAGGCTGGGAATGTGGCTTATTGCAAAGGCCCTGGGTTCCATAGTACTGGAAAAAAGAGGATCAAAAAAATGTTACTGATATGAGAGAATCAATCATATAAAAATAGGAAATAACTAATTTTGCAAATTTTCCATATGTACAGGAAGAATTCACTCAAAGTATTACAGTGATTATTTTGAAGGAACAGTGTTTCCTTTATTTGCTTCTCTGTATTTTTTATTTTCGTTTTTACAATGTATTATTTGATCTTTGCTTCCCTGCTGGTGATTAAACCCAGCGCCTCATGCATTCTAAGCACATGCTCTGCCACCGAGTTATCCCTGCTGTTATCTGGATAATTTTCAAAGGTTTGTGGAGTTTGAGGGTGTTTTGGTCTTGTTTTTTAATTGTTTGGGTCGCTCCTTTTCTTGGCGACTCACATGGCCAGGCTTGGGTCACTGTAACCTCAGCCTGGAGCCTGAGAGCCCAGGGCCTGGCACAGCGGACCATCTGCATGCCAGTGTGACCCCTGGCCCTCACCCCCAAGTCTTTGCCCCAATGCTCCCCCAAGTCAGAACACCCTTGATCTCATGCTGAGCCCTGTGAAGCCTTCAAGACAGCGCCAGCATCTCCTTCGACACCTTCCCAGTGCTCCAGCCTGCGGGGGCCTCTTCCTTCTTATGGCCGCAGTCCCCCTGTCCCTTTGCCGTCCTGCTGATAACCACCTTGTCACTTCTCCCTAAATCCACTGTGCCCGCTTTAAAGGGCTTTGCCTTGTCTATACTTGCAGCACATTGCCCTGTGCCTGGCACGTTGCAGTAAATCCGTACGGAGGGAAGCAGTCGGGCAGGCAAGCTGGCAGGGAGGCCTGGAGAAGTACGCACAGTCCCAGAATCCACGAAGCAAGGCCAGGAGCCTGCAAGTGCAGGTGGAAATTTTTCAAATCCCATGACGAGGGCAATCGCATCTACCAAAGCCGGTGAGTCACCCCTGGAGAAATCCAGTTAAACATCTATAATTCAAGTGATACTGCTTGGCATTCTGTTGTCAACACTGTTTCTATTCTGGGCAGGTTTGGGCCTCTTGTGCTTTCCGTTCACTGTCACCTGCCCAAACTTCCTGCTGGGACCATGTCCTCTCCCAAACCTTCTGAGTCCACCCCCCCACCACTCCCGCTGACACCAACAAAAGCTAACATTCAGCTGACAATTAACTGCCAGCCTAGGTCTGGTCCCAGCAGTATCTCGTGGAGTCCTCACAGGGCAGCTGTTCCCTTTCTCTACTCCGTAGAGGTCTCCGAGGTTTGGTAAAATCACCCAAGATCACACAGCTGGCAAGACCGAAGAGAATCTGACTCCAGAGCCATGACAGTGGCCACCGTAACAGACTGCCTGCATGCGCCCCTCAGATAGACCAAGCTGTCCCTCTCCGCCCCTGTACCTCCTTACTCTGCCCTATGCTTGCAGTCAGTAGCCTTTTAAAATACTCTCAACCAGGGGCAGTTCCAAAAGGTGGGACTTCTTGGTGGGGGTATCCATCCTTTATTTCCATTAGCCCTCAAAACAACCTCAGTGTATTACAGACATTTTTGAGATAGGCAGTAGATACTTCTCCCAATTTTGTGTAAAGTACAGTTTAAAAACTTGGTAGAAAACCATGTTATTTTCGTTGATCCACAGCACACTCTGGGTCCGTTACTGCAAATACAACTTCAAGATAAATCCCCCATTTTTCTGTGCGACCAGAGTGCTGAGCCCAAGTCTCCTTTATATAAATTCTAGAGCTGTGATTTGTTTCAACTAGCATCTAAGGAATGAAGGACAATAATCTCAGCAACACACTCTGCAGGCCCTGGGGAGGTGTCCCTCCCTCCTCCCCACTTGCTTCTGCCTAGCCCATGGGTGTGGCCGTGCTGACCAGTCTCAGCTGAGCCTCGTTCCCCCACCAAAGCACACAGTGCCCTTCTCTGAAGTCCTCAGCTGGTCCGGATCACCACTCTCATTTCCTGTTAGGTGCACTGCAACAGCAGGCACAGGCAAGTTTTTGATGAGAATGAACATTTAAGCCATCTCCATGCTTATTTAGAACCAGTAAGTAGTGACTTCTTTTATATGGAAGCAGGATCCTGGGGCTTGGTGAGCTACAAAGGAACAGCGTGTGCCCGCTCCTGGATCCTCCAGAACAAGGCAGTATAAGGCAGTGACTTGCACAGAGGCATGTGAACAACTGCTGGTCATCAGGGAGAGAGCTATTTGTCCTGGTTTGTTTTGCTTGCCAATTATTATCGTGTAAATACTCCCCACTGTTGCAGATTTCCAGCTACAGTGGACCTTTGACTTAAAAACTGGATTGGTTCCTGAGGGCTGGTTGAGATCTGGATGTTTACCTAGGTACACACTGTAGATATCAAGAGGCAGATGCATCTTCATTAACCGAACTAACCCAAGTTATTTGTATGCCAGGCCAGTTGTAACTTGAGGGTCCAAGGTTAACCACTAGCTCACGAGATTCTTGAGAAAACTTAACCTCACTATCTAGAGCCAAAGAGTGAGTAAATTTGGGGATTCATTTTCAATATGCTTTAAATATTTGTTCAATATTTATGTAGAACAGACGCTCATCACCATGTTGGGGGGGTATTGCCAGTGGTATTGATGACAAATGATTTAAGCTACTGTTTGTTCTAAATTTTTGTATGCTTTATACACAAGCACTACTTTGTAGACATAGTGCTTTATCCAGATCACCTCAGCAATCCTTATAACAACCCTTCAAGGCAGGTAGTGTGTCCTCATCTCTTCCAGGTGAAGAGCCTGCAGCTTGGAGGGGTTAAGTGGTTCAGCCACAATGATAAGAGTTAGTTAAAGGTGGAAGCCAGATGCTAAGCTGAATAGTCTGACTCCAGTGCCCACAAGAAGGCAGTGAGTAATCTGTTTTTCCAAGAAATTCAGCTCTGATACCAATTCAACATAACCCTTCTCAAAAAACAAAAATCTGCAGATGGTAGGACTCACTTTTCTTAGACGGCTATTTAGAGACCAACTATTGTTATTCACATGTGGTCTTTGCAGGATGGAGGGGGGTGTCTCCACCCTCTTACAGACAAAAATTGGAATTTTTCATCACTCAACATCCAAACCTTAACTCTGGGGGAGATGGTTCATGGTGTCAGTTGTTATTAAAGAAAGTAAACAAGGGAGCAGCTCCCTCTTCTCCAGGCTCAGTCCACCAAGCATAGATATGAAAGGATGGTGGGCTTAGATTTGTGGTGTCTAGCTATGGTAACAGTGGCATCCTGTCCAAATTGGTCTTGTCAGTCTTTGGGACCCTTCTGCTCCCTACCCATTTCCCGGGCTTATCCCCTCAGACTCCTTTTGTCCCCAAAACACCTGTAACTTGATACTAAGTCCCATAGTGTACTTAAGTCAGGCAGGGTTGTTTTCTGTCCCTTGCAGCCAAGAGCCTTAATGAAAACCAGCTTTTCTCCCAGTGGCTCATCATAGTGTCAACCATACCAAGTCTTCCAAAGGTTTTCTCCATCTTATCTTAGTGAGTCTGTAATATCTTCTATGGATTGGTATCTGGCTGGCTTGTGTTTTAATTTATTTTTGAACAATAAGAGAGTGTCAGAATGGATTCGTAAGATTTGGGCTTGTGTCAGATGCTTTTGGGGACAGTTTAAAGGAGGAAAGTTTTGCTCTGCATTGGAAGCTGTCAGGAAGTGAGGGACTTCTGAGAGGTGAATTAATTATTCTTTCCTATGAAGTGAGAAGAATAGGCCGAGGCTGAGAGTATGATCCATAAGGAAGAAGCAGTCACTCACAGTGGCCAGATGTGACATTGCTGTGGTTCAGATGCGGTTTGTTTCCTAAAAGTCCATCGCTGGAAGTGTGATCCCCTCTGGAACGGTCCTGAAAGGCAGGGGGATCCTGAAGAGGTGGACCCCAGCAGGAGTTGGCTGGGCCATGGCTACCCTGGTGAAGGTCTCAGGAAGTGGGCTGGGCCTCACGAGAGTGGATTATTTTTTCACGAACAGGTTATTGTCGAAGCACAAGACTGGCCCTTCCCAATCTCTTCCTCTCTCACTATGTGCCCCCTTTCTCTTCACAAGTTCTCACCATGTGATGCATCCGCCATGTTGTGACAGAGGCTGGCACCATGCTGTTTGGACTTGCAAGCCATTAGAATCGTAAGTCAAACAGACAAATGTGTGTGTGTGTGTGTGTGTGTGTGTGTGTGTGTGTGGATTTCTAAGTTTTTGTTTTGCTTTGTCTTTTGTACTGGGAACTGAACTTGAGACCTTGCACTTGCAAGGCAGGTGGTAGACCACTGAGCTAAATCCCTGCCCCGTGTGTGTGTGTATTCTTTAAAAAATTCAGTTCCAGGTATTTTGTTATACACAAAACAGAGGAAGACAAGGATGTTTGGTTATATCTGCAATTCGCACAGTGTTCATGTCTTTACATGCCATTACAATGCTTTTGGAATAGCCCCGTTTTTTCTTGATCTACCACAATGGCCTTGTATGATATTGCCAATCTGCAAAATTATTTGTGTTCAACAGGGTAATATCTTAGCCGAGCTGTGAGGGCCAAGCTGGCTGCAGCCTGCCAGAAGGAGCTTTTCTCTTTCCTGGTGTCAGAAGTAATTTCTATCTCCTCATAAGTAATAACGAAATTCGTTGCCAGAGGGGTCTGTCTGTTTTTGTCCTCCCGGCAGTACCCCATTTGGTGTCTTGCCTTTGAAAGGTCCTCTGTGAAGGCTCAGTGAACTAAATTATGGGCACAAAGAACTCTCTGAGACCTGGCATTATTACCATCATGCTGAATTCTGTATTTTTAAATTCTAAAAAGACAAATATAGAATGAACACTAGTCCAAAATTTAACTCATTAATAAGGGAACCAGTAAGATGGTGAAAGGTCCTCTGTGAAGGCTCAGTGAACTAAATTATGGGCACAAAGAACTCTCTGAGACCTGGCATTATTACCATCATGCTGAATTCTGTATTTTTAAATTCTAAAAAGGCAAATATAGAATGAACACTAGTCCAAAATTTAACTCATTAATAAGGGAACCAGTAAGATGGTAAAGCTCATTCCAAGAACTTTTAAGGAACCAGATTTTGAGGATATTTTATAAGAATCTTAAAGTCCATCTGCTAGGTTGTTCACAAAGCTGGTTAACATCCTACAGGCAATAACACCATATCCTTTAGAGTTTTATTTTCCACTGTGCAGAAATCTATAAGTTAATGTACAATTATAGTAAAACAGTGTATAACAAAGTTAGATATATGTGCACTCTTCCAGATAATGAAATAATCCTTGGGCAGATCTCTAAGCTTTGTCTTGCAACTCAAAAAGGACGTTTTCCCCATTCTTTTTCCTTATTTCCAATTTTTGGTTAATTTTTATTTTAAAAGCATAATAAAGGACTTTGGCTTTTTAGAAATACATTCAAATGGGAGTTTTCCAATACCTATTTCATATCCTGCAGCAGCAGTATCCTAGCTAAAATTTCTTGAGCAGTTTTTACACAGATATGTAAGCATTTCTAAATGTATTTTATCTTATTTACTTACACAGAATACATCTTTATGAGGTAATTCATTCTGAGGAAAACAGGTGTGGTATCATAAAATATATATTTAGTCCTTGCCTCATGTTCTTGGCAGAGGTCCTACAACCCCTGAGTTTTCTGTGATCCCCAACAATCTACTTTTAACCCTGAGATATGTTAGCAAGGTGGTTGAGGGTGGGGCCTTGTCTTCAGGTGCTGATTATGTTAATGAGGTAGCTTCGGGATAGGAACTGGTCCCCTGAAGGGCCAAACCAGTGATCAGACTGGGACCTTCAGCACCACTCCCCCACGTCTGGGGAGAAGAGGGGTACAGATTGTGTTATAAAACCTTGCAGACAATGAGCTTCAGGGAGCATCAGGCTGGGTGTCACACCAAGGCACTGGGAAGGCCATACACCCAGGGCAAGAAGACTGCATAGCACCTCGACCCATTCCTTGCCCCAAGTGTCTCTTCTGTTCAGCTGTTCCTGAGTTGCATTCTTCAAAAGGAACTAGAAAACATGGGTAAAGTATTTATTTGAGTTCAGGGTCATTCTGGTAAAATATCAAATCTGAGAGAAGGCATTATTGGGCCTCCACATATGGAGCCGGTCAGGCAGAAATCAGGACAACCTGGAACTTATACCTAGCATCTCAAGTAGGGGCAGTCGGGTGAGCAAAGTCCTTTCACTTGCGGAAAGTGGCCCTGCAAATACAGTGTCAGAATTAAATTGTTGGACATCTAGTTGGTGCCAAAAATCAGAGAATTAATTTGGCGTCAGGCATATATTTGATGTCAGAAAGACAAACACAAGCACACGTTTGGTGTCAGAAGTGGTATTAGAAGCTGCCACACCAACAGGTGGCAGAGAAGCTAAATAATTTGCCTAGGATCACACAGCTGGTAACATCTGCGCTGGGACAGACTCTGACAGAGGTGAAACCCTTGACCTTATCCAGTAAACATGCTGCCTGGCTATGCGATGGCATCGTAGGAGCCAGAGGAGCAGCCTGTGAGGTTCTTTCAGGTCAGAGGGAGAGCAGGGCCCTGCTAAGTCAGGGTTCCCTAAGTGTCAGCCATTCGCAAGTCACCGTAGCAGTGCTTGCCAGGTCTTCGGCCCTCTCTACTATTATTTAAATCTTTTTTTTCAAGTTAATTCATTTTTCTATAGCACCATAAGTTTTTTCAAAAAACGAATATTTTTCCTGTTTTTTTTTTTTTTTTTTTTTTTTTTTTTTTGGTACTGGGGATCAAACTCAGGACCTTGCACTTGCAAGGCAGGCAGCGGAATCTCTATGTGCTTTTTTAAAAAAATTTTAGTTTATTAGTGCATATGTGTAGCACAGAGCACTTATATTCCTCGTAGTGAACTGGTACATGTGTGTCATGCATCTTACTTCTATTTTAAAATCGCCTTTCCTTTCCCTCTCTCCCCGCTCCACTTGTCTCTTAATCCCCTTCCTTTTTTTTTTCTTCACGTTTGCAGTACATAATGTTTACAGTCTTTGGAGTTGGTACATGTACATTACACATCCCGATTACTTTTGTTAGTCCCATCTCCCTTCTCTTCCCTCCCTTCTCTCCATCGTATAGCCCTTTAAAAGAAAAAAAAAATGTTTCTGAGACAGGATCTCACTAAGTTGCTAAGCTCTACAGTTTGGACTTGAATTTATGATCCTCTTGCCTCTCGGAGTGCTGGGATTATGTGCCTGTACCACCATGAAAACTAATTCTTAATTCCCAGATACTATCTGAAACCATCCCAGAGTATACCTCATTGTGGGATAAACTGGACCAACAGATCGTGTAAGATCACATAGCCAAGATCCTGACACAGATTCCCGTCTCCAAGTCCAGTGGTCTTTGAGCAACAGTGCCAATCCCTTGACCGCAGAGTGTTTCTGATCAACTATGTCAGGGCACCAAGCTGCAAGGGAACTAGAAATTTCTCACTTTGGCTCAAATTGTGGCCAGAGGGAAAAGCAGAGTGGTGGTAGACAGCAGATGGCCAGAGGCCTGGCTCTGCCAGGCAGTTAATGACACCAGGCAAGGCTCTCCTTTTCATCACCAGGCCCAGCCAGGGCTGAAGCAGCCTAGCTCTGATTGTTCTGGGACCACACAAAGTTTCCCTCCAAGTAGCTGAAGGTCAGTTCTGACGAGACTTCAGAAGCAGTGTAAGTACTTCAAGGCATGGAACAGTAATGAATAATCGCCTTCTTCAAGGGGGAAGGAAGGCACAGAGCTCTGCACTGAGAGCCTATTAAACAGATAGGCATAGCACACTGAATTCCATCTGAGTAACCTCACATCAAGTCAAAATGTCAGTTTATGGGAGCATTTTCTAAACTGTTGCTTTCAAAGTAAATTTGTATCTTATTATGTAAGTGGGTGTTTGTTGTCTTGGGTCAAACAGTGACCCCAAAACTCATAGTTTGCAGAAAGAGGTCCCCAGAATTCTCCTGGCTAATCCACTGGAGGTACTTCCAAGGAGCTTGGCTCTAGACTGAGTTCAGCCGTGCATGGTTTCATTTCATCTTCTCTCCAACTCCGTAAAATGTGAACTGTTACTGGATTAGTTTTACACATGAGGAATCTGAGGTTTAAAGTTTAGCCAGTCAGTGATAGAGCTGGAATTGAATTTTGGTACCAAATGGCTCCAGAGTTTCTCTTTGTCATTTGTCTATTATAATCCCAAGATTATAGTCCCACAGTTCAGTGAAGAAACTCAGAAATTTCATGTCTCTTGCTCTTAGCTTGTTCATTTGATTAAATAAAAAAAAAGAATGATAAAGGAGGTTTTTAGAGGTCAGAAACAGATGGTCAATGGGAAAAATGAGAAAGTAATCGTCGAATGATGTGTTTTGGGCTATAAGATATAAGAAAACTGTAATTGTAATTTTCTTGATAAAGGTTCAGTCAGAGGCATAACCAATGGCATTGGACAAAGGGTGTGATGGTGAAGGCGACAGATGGCATCAGAATAGTCAACACGCCACAGGAGACCACAAATATCCATTCCATTCTGGTTTAGTCACAATTCTAAGCAACCAGAGACAGAGGTGCCTAGACTGTGCCAAGAAATCAAACTAAGAGAGAGGAAAATTGACACTTTCTGTCTGAGTTTTTAATCCAGAAGAACTGGGGAAGAGTATAGGAAGGGTTCTTGTACATCACCCAGGGAAGATGGGAGAGGAAGTCACTCTCCTCTTAAGACTCCTGGTGCCTAGCCCCAACTTGGACCACTCAGATGAGACTCGGGGTGAGACCCAGGCCTCAGCATTTTCTGTACAGTTCTCCAGGTGACTCTGCTGTGCGGCCAAAGCTTAGAACCAGAGGTCTGGAGGAGCTGCCTTCTTGGTGTCAGAGGCACAGGTTTTACCACTGTAATCTCCATCTGCTTCAGTCAAGGGCCCCAGTATGCATCAGTGGGTTCCAAACACAGAAGGAGAAGTACCACGACTTACAGGGTGAGGGATGCCTTGCAGGAATTAGAAGTTCCACAGTCAGGGGCAGAGCTGGGGAGGTAAAGGGCCTGGCCAAGGAGGGGAGAAGCGGCAGGGTCATCACCCAGCGATCTGAGAGTCAGATCTGGCCAGATGGCTGCAGAGGGGAGCAGGTGGAGGGACC